AACAGGTTTAGGCATAATTCCTTGTCAACGGCGGTCAGAATCATCTTGCAGAACTTGAAAAACCCTAAATGTCCAAGACCAGACCCTAATCTCACACCACGATAACAGCTGGAAACCAAGTGAAGTCAGTGGGGTCACAACACTGCAAACCCAAGCTAAGCCAGAGCAGAGCCAGGCATTAACGCTGGCTGAAATATGGCATGTTCAACAGTTAAACGGTGAACACTTGCAGTGGGGAGGGGAAGGTAATTCAGAGAAACATTCAAAGAAACCTTCAAACCTCTCCGATCCCTTTTCTCCAGATGCTAATCTCATCCATGCTGGCATAAATCCAGAGTGACTGCACTGACTTTGACAGACTTTTCTCATACTATGGTAACAAAAAAATTCACGCTCTGGCACTCTATCAGTTACTGGCATATTGTAGAAACAGAATAAAGCTGTTAATTTAACAATAGACGTATTCTGTAAATTTATATTTATGGGATGTGGAAAGCTCTGAGATGCTTCCTGTGGTTTGCACCCACTGCAACTCATGTGTCTTCCACGACAGCTTGTCGTTATTCTTCTGCCTGTGTTTGTCTGAATTTCTTCTGGAGAAGCCGCTCCGTAAAAGTCTGACAACATGAGAAGGTGACAGCTTGACAAATCCTCTTGAGACACCTCAAGCAACAGGACAAGGAGCTCAGGCATGCTAATATTCAGAGAACAAGGATCTGAACTGGGTGAATTAGAAAGATAAATACCTAGGAGACCAACAACCCTATGAAAGTCCCGTCCCCTGAGACTGGTTGCTACGCCACAAAAATGATGGCATTTACAATGTGCACGTCAACTAGTGATTTGCACATGGTGGTATGTATGCAGTTTATTGATCAGTAAATGTCGGGTAAATGTGTATAAACCTACATTGTAAATTAGTTTTAAAAAGCTTATGCAGTAAAGCGTTCATCTCCTTTCCAATTCTGCCCTCTCAACAGTGTTGTGTAGGTGTGTTTTTGTTAAATGCAACTCTTCTCAACCCAAACTCACAGGTTTACTTTGGTATTAGCGAGAAGACCACAAGAGCATGCCTGTGTGAGCACAACAGCCCTACCACCCTTTCTCAGAGCTGGGAATGACCTGCCATGGCAGGAACATTGCCTGGCAGGAACTGCAGGGCACTGGGTCATTTATATGTTAATGCTGCAACACAGTGAATTTCTGCCAGATGCCTTATTTAGTTGAAGACAATATCTCAAGTCCTATGACATCTCCTCATTAAGTAATGTCTCTTGGTAATCGCACTGAGCTTAATGAAAGCTGCAAGAGTGCATGGTGGCTTCCTAGAAGGCCAAGAACATCCCGGTTGGATGCCACATAGCACCCAACTAGGGCCAAACAGCAGCACTGGCCTACAGCACTTCTGCAAATCTACTGCTAACCTGCAGCAATCTGTTCTCTCTCTTAATCCCCCTGAATGTTTCCATCTGACTACCCATTTCCATGACTTACAGAGATGGCATGTTTCAATAAAACATGAACACAACTGCATTAACCGAAAGGTTGCCCGGGGCATCGCTCGGAAATCAAACTCAGCCCGAATGTGCTCAGGGCCCAACTTTGGGAACACAGGAGAGCAGAGAGGTGCGTGGGATGAAATGGGTGCCCCCAGGAGCTGCCCTTTCAGCCCTCCCTTCCGGCTCATCGTTGCCTTGTGCTATCTTATGGCCTTGCTGAAAGCGCTAGGACTGGTTGGCAGCTGAAGGGCATTCAGAGCCAGAGCAGAGCCCAGGAAAACGTGCCTAGAATGCTTCAGCAAAAGAAAGACTCCCCTATTTCTCCCACTTCATTTGCAGACCTGTTACCATGAAGACAGCAGCATTCAAGAGGAAACATGCTACGCAGGGACAAATTCAGCATAGGCAAGCAGGAAAAGCAGAAAGGACTTGGAATAATACCTTATCACAGGCTGATGGTCAGAAAGTACTCATACGCTTAGGCTGCCTGCATTACTTGCGGCCATTAGGAAGAGCTCTTCATTATTTGCCTCGTAAAGTCCACAGTAATTCCTACCATTCACTCACACTGCTAAAACAGGAAGCGCTTATCTCTATTTATGGAGCTTGGCGCTCAGCTAAGAAAAAGGTTACTGCTGGGAGACAGAGGAGACCCAATCCCAACTACTGGTGAATAGTTTCAGTCATCCAACTAGCTTCATGTAAACTGTGACCTGCTCTGGGGGAGACAGGATGGCAAGGCAGGGACTTCCCAGTGGCCATGTTCTCTCCTGCTGCTCTGCTCTTTGGAGACCTGCATACTATAAACATGCATTACTAATCCTCTGGAGACAATGCTCCTCGCAGTGACCACCACCCTCTCCCCACCATCCTCTCCCTGCCTCGGTTACAAACACCACCCAGAATGGAGGATGTGCCTCACCAAGTTGCTCAACACAAGCTGCAGGTATGCTTTTTTTCACCTGTGTGTAGAGAGGTTCATAGATATCCACCCCATTGTCCTGACTGTGGGAAAGCGTCTCAACTCCCCGTTTCCAGATGAAGCGAGCTGGTGGGTTGGAGTTGACAGTGCAGCGGAGGAAGACAGTCTTCTCCTGATAGAAGCTGCCACGTACATCACTGATGGTCTGGTGAACGGTGAGAACAGGTTCATCTAGATCTGGAAGGAAGGTAAGGAGGTCCGCAGCAGTTGTTAGTGAAGCTGGTCAGCAGGTACAGCCTGCAGAGCAGATGGCGCTCCAGGGGCCGTGGGGAGAGGTAAAGTTCCCACGCATTTGGCCAGTGACAACTGCTGAATTAAGAGCTGAGGCCAGATAACACAAGTGGTATCTAAAGGGAACAGACAGGAGAAGCCAAAATTCTCCCGCTCACCGCACAACATTCAGAGAATAGAAAGCACCCTCTGATTTGCAGTTCCTATGTGGTCCTCAAGCAAACTGACTGTCTACCACACACCTCTCAGACCAGCAGGCTGCCTCACCTTCCCCAGTACCACCCTCCACCACAAATCACAGCTCTCTGCTTCAGTGAGAAGTCAGAAGGATCCCAGGAAACCCTACTGCATACTCATTCCTGTTGCTCTCACTTTCCAGTTCCCAGGCCCCTCCTGAAATGCATCTAAGCCCATGGCTTTAAGACGCCCACACAAAAGAAATGACAAACCTTCAAGTCAAGGGATGGGGGTAGAAATCAGGACAGGATCAAGGAGCTGAAGTGCAGAGTTATTTCCTAGACAGGAGCAAGTCTGGTAGGGTGTCTGCCACGGGAACATGAGACGCAAAACACGGTGATATCTGAGTACAGCTTCTCTCTCTTTTCCTATTAAAATAACCTCTGGGTACTTTCTCCTTTTCAAGATTTGCACTGACTCTCCCTTTTTTCATCAGCTTCTGCTTACTGTGTTTCCATCACCCACCCCCAAAGTGACCAAATTTTTTTCTTTTTTCCCCCTTTACAAAAAAAACTCTCCCCAAACCCTCACTTACCATACCCACTCCAGACACAGCCATCATGACCTGATCAACAGTTACCTCTTATTTGCAAGCACACAAGCAATAGCCCTGCAGAGAGCATGCTTCCCACATACACGCAGCAGCCTGAGCCCAGGGCGCCCCGCTCCCCAAGGGCTGCCTTTCCGTAAAAAAAGAGACCTCTCTCTTTGCACCAGACACTAGCATTTGAAAGTCAAGGAAGCACGAGGAAAACCTCAGAGGACAGGGGTCTTTCTCCTCCCAGAATCACACTGAGACTGACTGGGGTTAAATAAAGATCCCATTTGACAAGATTGGATCAAATGGCCCCTTAAAACTGCAATCTGTCCCCATGCCCTAAAGCATATCTTGTAAGGTGCCTGTTGAGCTCAGTGGAGCAAGTCTGCACAGTCAGCAGCCTTGCAACCCCATCTTCAGCTGCAAAGAAAACATGAAGCGCACACACACCCAGCCTGCCCTCGTGCTGCCAGCACTGTCCTCTGAGCATGTTGCCAGAGAGGACACGTGCCCATCATCTCCCACTGTCTTGTGCCACCTAATTTTCAAGATATTGAAAATTAGACATTTTTTTAAATGCAAGCTTGGAATCTAGTTCCTGGGAAGAAAGGGGGAAGCAGGAGAGTAGGGATGATTTTCTATTAAGGTGTCATCCAAATAGCGCATGTTCTCTACTGAATGACAAGCACGGACTGGTGGATTTGCATATTTTATCATCTTGTATGCTTGGAAGATAGCACTTGTAACGAGACCTGAGATTTGTTGGCTTGACCATATCGAGGCTCAGAGAAATGAGTAGAGCTGTTAGCTGAACGATGACAAAGCAGAAGAAAAACAAGACAGAAGAAAAATATATGCGGGTAGAGAAAAGACGCCCAGAGTCTCCATACAGTGCTGCCTCTATTCAGCCATAAAGTGACTGAATTTTAAATCAAATTCTCTTGGACCAGGACCTTGGGCACAGCCTCTCCTCTTCCTCACTTCCTTATTCTTACTTTATTTGCTCATTCTTACACGAGTAACTGCAGATACCACCTCCCTGAGTCCCCCTTTCTCAGCAGGATGCAGAGCAAAACACTTCCCCTACCCCTCAAAGAGGAAGATCTCTGTCCAGGTCTCCTCCCTCCCAGCTATTCCCTACAAGGGAAACAATATCTTCCTTTTGGTTGCTAAACCTTTCCTCCATCAAATCTTTCAGTCTTGTTTAATAGCAGTCAGCCCTAAGCCTAACCCTCCCAAGAAAAGCTAAAATAAGACCTATGACAATACACGTCCTTGACGTAGAAGGAATTCCACTGATGTTAGTGAGCTGCACAAATGATAAGTCTGGCCCAAGGCTGCTCATGGAGATGATCACATGGGATGTTTCATGCACAATATAAGCTTGTAGCCATCCATTCTTTCTTTCTCTTTACTTTCCTCTTTCCCACGTGGAAATACTCCAAACAGCAGCTGCCTCTCTGCTAGTGTCCAACCAGTATTTAAAAGCTTCACTTGATGCACACTAGGGGCAAGGGAGTAACTTGCGACACAGGTTAGTGCTTCCACTTTAATATTGTCTTTGCACAAAACGATGCTCTACACAGTCTCGCCATCTGATACTAAAATTATGAGCGAGGACTAGCACTTGCTGGCAAGGACACCAAGGTTCGCATGAGAGTGATTACTCACCTCTAACTATGAATCGGGGTGCAGGGGAAGAAGGGGTTTGTTTTCAAATTCTGGTTCATTCGGCTGAAGGTTGCCTGGGTGAGCGTTCAACAAAAACTGTGGCTTTTCCTATGTGTTCCCTTGTACCTACAGCAAATACTAGCAGAAAACAGACTCTCCTCCCCAAAAACCAAGCGAGCAGAACAGAGGTGCATTACCAAGTCCATCTGCAGAGTAGATGTTAGTATGAGAAAACCCTTGGCCACCCCATAGTTCTACAGGTCAGAGCTGCACAAGGGACCATGGGACGCTACATCGCTCTAGCTCCAGTCTGCACCCCAGAAGCAATGGGACTGCCCACAGCACATAAAGAGAGATTCAGGCCACAGTCTTGTTCCTAGAGACATAGGCCCTGGCAAGGTGCCATGCTGAGGACTAAGAAAAGTAAGTTCCTTTTGCAATGGAGAGCAATCAAATGCTTCCAGCATAGGCAAGAGAAGGAACGGGTGGAGAAGACAATCAAATCCAGGTGGGTGTCAGGACTCCTCAGAACAGACCTACCCAATGTCCATGAAGAAATGCTCATCCTATCCAATGTGTCATGAGCTGCAGTTGAAGCAATCTTTATTCCTGGACTGTAGGATTGAACTCATACTACACTGCCTCCAACAAAGGATAGGGCAAGAGTACAGAGCAAGGAAGAAAAAGATATGCTAAAAATCAACACAGAGGGCAGCCTCTCCAAGCCACAAAATGCAACTGTGGATCATGAGTCTACCAAAGCCCGAGGATGTTCAAATCTATGGGGTACTTTGGGAAGGTCACAAAATCTAAACTGAAGGCAGCACTTTGCCTGAACACACTATCTCACATCTCAGGGCTAGACAGCGGGCCCAGGAGGAACCAGTCAGGCAGCAGTCGTTGCCAGCAAAACTCTGCCCAGACAGGTACCTGGGCTATGAAACCTGGAGGTTGCTCTGCTGAGAGATACCCACAGAGCATCTCAGCACAGAAGACAGGCTTGCTAGAAGGATTTTGGGGAATGGATGGGGATGAAAGGAGAGTTCCAGCTTTTTTGTAATACTTCTTATCATTTTATCATCACCCTCTTGATGGCAAGACCCTTGCAGTACAGTGAGCAGGTGCATTTGGTGCTACCAGGGTTGTAGAAAACTGCAGTAGCTGATAGCCACAGACAATGAGCAGATTGGTAATCTTTCCCATGTCTCCTCAAAAGTGGCCTAAACATTAGATCTTTGATTCCTTCTAATATGAAGGTACTGGACAAGCTTAATTTTCCTCCCTTTTGGACACAACTGCCCAAAAATAAACGTTAATTCAGCATGAGAGACCTTCAAAACATGGGATCCATGGCAAGACGGAGAGCCACTAAGGGCATTTCCAGGGCACAAGAGAGAGAGGCAGCACAACCAGGCAAAGAAACATTTGGGTCACTGCTAAAACCAAGAGGTCCTCAGAGCTTCTTTCATCTTTACTTATTCACAACTCAGCCTCCCCAGGTGCATCCCAAAATCTTTTACTCTATTTTCACTGTCCTGCAGAGGTGGCATTACTGGGAGCAGGACACTGGTTTCAGGAGCGCTCCAGGCATTCGAGGTGCTGCTGATTTCAAAGAGCAGAGCAAGCCAGTTTCAATATGGAGATTAAAAAAACTGGAAGCCATATACAACACTACACCCCAAACAAGTGCCAGGAATCCCTAGCAGCAGCAGGGATAACGGTATATAGATAAAAGCGGTTTGCATGGACAGGCAAAGCCATCTTTTTCTTTAGGCAGACCTAGCCCCTTAGGGGAGACGGACCCTGGCGACCTCACACTGGTCCCTTTGCTCCTGAATTGGGTATGCATGGTGCTAGGGCAACGCAGCTCCCTGCCAGCCCCGCAGCGAGGCAGAGACACGCAGTAGAACTGTGGGAAGGTCTGGGTTGCCACTAAACGACTTACACTGCACATCTACTCGAATGGACTTGATGGCAGGGACCCCAACCCCATTTTCTGCTTTACAGTAATAGCGGCCCCCTTGCAGCCTTTGAATCTTCTCAATCCGAAGGGTCTCGTTAAGCACCGACGTCTCTTGGAATTTGTCCGAGGCACTGCCGGCGGTTTTGGTCCACCTCACCTGCAGGAAGAGAATGAGAGAACTGCAAGCTATCAGCAACACAAACTCGAGTTCCCAGGGGACAGCAGCACTCCCTTTTCTCCTTTTCTCTTCCTCCCCAGAACTCACACAAATAGACCCTAAAGCCTATTACTGCCAGACCTTACCCAAGTTCAACTGCTGATCTCATTATGTCTCGATACACCAGCTGTCAATTCTCAGCCATCACCAACCCGCATGTCCTAATGTCCACAAAAGCTCCCTAATTCAACCAGACACACACTGCACAGTTATCACTCCAGCTCTGGTCCCATAAACCCAGCAACTTAGTTTAATACCACCACCTGCAGAGCACAGGAGTTTCAGCATTAAGCCTCAGTAGCCCGTATAGTCAATAAGCCATGAATCTACAACAGACCTCAGCTCATAGCTACAGAGCTTTTACTGCACTTCACTCAGCGCCCTTTTGCCTCTCTGGATAACAAGGCTACTTCAGCTGTTTGCCTCCCCAGGTAAGAGGTACAACTGCAGTTGCTATTGCTCTTGCCCCTTCCCCTAAGGAACCCGTGTGTGTTACTTTTGTAAGTCATCCTTTTGCAGGGCACAAGCTTTTACTTTGCTTTTTCTTAAAGACGCAGAAAAAGAAAATAAAAAATCCCTTCAGATTTTGGACTATTTTGCATTCTTTGCATTACGTCATATGTTTTAGTCTTGAGATCCTGGCTTGGGGGGCCAACACAGTCACACAGTATTTGATGGTGAATGGTGGCAAGAGAACACCATGCTTAAATATTGAACTGTTATTCTCATGTCTGTAAAGAGGTACAGCCTGAGCAGTGGCAAGACAGGCTTCTCTTGTCATTTTCTGCAGCCCAGACGACGAAAGAGAGAGATGGCTTTTCTTAGCCCAGTGATCTCCTATATCAGCTGCCTCCTTTCTCAGGGCTGATGACTCTGGTTGTCTCCCACATCAGTGCCGTCTAGCTTCTGGGACTAAGATCCAGCAAGATCAGAAAACAAAAAGGAGATGGATTTTCTTTCAATGCTGGCCACAGACGAGAAGAAGCAGATGCCCTGACCCCACCCCAGCCTTCATTTAAAGCTAACTGCCATCATCTGACTGATGCTGATGCTCTAGAAGAAGCAAGGGTGTCTACTTCCCATTCCCAGAGCAGCAGGCTGAGAAGATTCTCTCAGCTAATGACCATGTATTTATTTAGCCTTTGTAGGCTTAATATAAAATTATCTGAAGGCCCCAAGTCTCTCAGATTCTCCTGTTCACAAGGACACTTCATTCAGCTCTTTCATCTTTTCAATTTCAATCTCATTTAAGTATTTTGGCCACATTCTCAAGCTTTAATGACTGGCTGATAGAAGGGAAAAGAAGACTAAAACAAGTTTAGGAGAAAAGTTTTGTTAGGGGAGTAATCTATCTATGAGGAAGGAGAGCAGAGATAGGACACATGCCACGTTTTACACGAGCCGGCTCCAGCCTCCATGGTCATGTGTGGCTCCACACTCTGATGTTCCCAGGAGCGTCTGGGCAATGAAAAAACCACAGTGTCGCTCACTACCATACTGTCTGCATCAGATCTGCTCCAGCAATCTCTTCTGCTGCTCCAGGCTTGAATCCCCATGACCTGCCTGCATCTTCCCACACTCTCAACATCCTCGGGAAGGGCCAGCCCTTCTGTGTTTCTTGTTTCTGCTGTAGACAGCCATCCTCAACCTATCACTGTCACAGGCCTAGGTTGATCATCCTGGCTAGCCTGGCTCAGATCATTTCCTTTTTATTGTTTCTAAGATATCTAGGATATGCTTTGATGGATAATCCATTTCCAGTTCTGCTGGCTGAGTCTCTCTCCCTCTCCTTTATCATCTCTTCTTAGCCAGGTAGCTTCTCGCAAGCAAGTCCATGGAGGGGATGATTGGCGTATGCAGATGTATGGCTTCTCACCACAAATGTCTTTGACTGGCAGGCTTGGGGAAGGGGGCCAAGAAGGCACACGTATTGTGGCTGGCTCCCTTGGGCGTATTCTGGCACATCCAACCTTACCCTGTGTGCCAGCTGCTGCTCCTACCATACTCTGTCCCAGAGTGGACAGACACATGCTCGGCTCCAGCATCTCTACAGACATCTCCACACTAGCATTGAACCAGGCTGCTTACCTAGCTGAAGGGTGGGGAGGTCACTGCACAGGCTTGAGGCTATGCAACCCGCTGGGAACCCTGGGGAAGGGCTGCAGCAGGTAGCCATGCTCAACTCCATACCACTTCAGTGAGTTGTGACTTTGACCACAGAGCAGACATATCCAGCGCTGCAAGCTTGAATCTGCCTCTGGTCAGTGGCAATAAAGCAGTGACCAAGGGATTCTATGCACAGCTCAGTCAAGTGCACTACAGACAACTTCCCAAATTCCCCTAAGCAGATTCCCACCGCGTTCACATCCAGAGCAACTAATAGACAGATGGACCATGAAGGATCAACTCTGAAGGCCAGCCTGTGGGGGAAGCCTGCTCTATCCCTGATCAGGCTGTGCCTGCTTTGTAGAGAGAGGTATAAAGGTCGGAGGGTGGTTTGTACAGTGGGTTCAGCCTTGGTTTCTGGCCGTCTTAGGACTCCACGTACTGAAGACCACAAGAAACTCTTGGTAGGTCCCTGAGATCATATTCCACAAAAGCAAAGCTTGCTACTTCATAGTTTAAATTGTTAGTGCATGTGCTATAGGGCATCTCTACCCACCGTATTGCTTTAAAGGACTTCTAGTCTCTTTTCATGCTGCAGCCACTACAGGGCAATAAACCCAGCTTTTGTGCTGCAGAACCTGGTAAGGAGCCCAGAAAGAGTGAAAGAGGGAGCCAACTCCAACACGCCGGGCAACCATGCTGCCTGCAATTCTCCTCTACATGGTGAGAGTAGAGACGTGGGGAGCATGAGTGACAGGCGAGACTGAAAGCTTACCTGTGGCCGGGGGTGTCCTGTGACCAGACACTGCAGGACCAGTGTGTCCCCCTCCCGAATCGTGTAAACACGTTCGCTGATGTTGTCCTCCTTCACTACACATGCTTGCCCAGCATGGATGATTTGGGCCTGAGCAGGAGCTGCAGAAAGGGAAGAAGAGGTAAAGAGGGAAACAAGCAGCACCCCAGCCCCTTTCACCCACTGACCGGGGTGGTTGGCTCTCATGGCAGGGTGGAAGAGTAGACTCCTGAGCCAGACAGGGGAGAAAAAAAACAGACAACGCTAGGTGTGAGAGACACAAAAGTGCCACAGGATGGAAATCTGAGCTATTCTCTTCATCTGCTGAGCAGCTGATATCAACTGCTGTTTTAAAACTTTTAGTCCTATTGGGATTAGCAGCTCTAGGGACCGAAGAGCAGAATATGGAGCTCTTCTGTGAGTCCATCCTGTACAGGCTGGGAACAGAGACTCCCCTGCTCTCATCCCTCTCAAGGATACACAGCTGCTCTGTGCCTGTCTAAACAGATCTGATGAGTACGATTTACATTGCAGGGGGCCAAGATAACTACTGAGCCATGTCAGAAAGGGCCTCGAAGCTTTGTATGGCTCTTGGCATGCTTCCCTAGAACAGTCATAGCACACACGGCAGAAAACACAAGTCTTCCCCAAACTACAAAGCAACATATCTCAGTCCTGACCCAGAGGGAACAGCCTCTGAAGCAGCAGGGGAACCATATTCTCCGGGGCTCTTTGCTCCTGATGGGACTCTAACCTGAGCCCAGTTACTGCCAAACCAGCCAGAAAAATGAGCAGAGACCAGTGCAGTGGAAAAGTACATGAAAAGAAAGTTCCCAGAGCAAAGCTGAAAAGCTTCATGCCCCAAAACAACAGCTACGTTCCACTGAAGCCCTGACCAACAACAGGGAAAGACAATCTCTCAGAGAATAGGATTTTATAAAGGAGGAAAAAAAAAAAAAAAAAAAGAGCGCCCCAGCTCTGGAAGCCCACACGAACAGCCCTTGGCTCCTTATTGCAAAAGTGTTCATGTGATCACCAGAGCAGCTGTGATATATTGAAGGTGATAGTGCAGCCCAGTGGGACACCTGTGCTTGTTCAAGGGGAAAACTCTAGTCGCACTTCAAGGAACAGAGAAATGCATATAGGAATTGGTACCTCAGTGAGAGTCTCCTGGGATATACTTCCCTGTCTTGCTACAATGCTTCCAGGTGACTCTAGTGTCACAGCTCTAGTTCCCATTAGTGAAATACAATGCAAATCAACAAGCCACAGAGGAGATGATTAAAGGGTTTAAAAGAAAGAGCGTTAGTAAGTCTTCTGAACCAAGCACGAGTTTTGCACAACCTGTTAAAGCTGAACCAAATACCTATTTTTTCCTCAAGGTTAGTTGAGCTTCAAGGACTTTTTTCTTTCTTTTTTTTTTTTTTTTTAAAGAGACATAGGGATGACAAAACTGCTCTAAACAGTCACCTGGGAAAGAGAAGTGCTCAGATTTACACTGGTCTAAGCCAGCAGCAGCGTAGACCCAGGGCGAGTTTGGCTTGAGCAGTGGAGGAGATCTGCCCTCGAGGTCAGCCTGCGTAAACTGGTGTCGCTACGACGTGCCGACCGAGCAGCAGCGATGCAGAGCAGCTGCAGGGCTAAAGGGCAGCAAGCTGCCTTTGCTGCCAGGGCTCCCCTGCCAGTGACAGCCGCCAAGCACCTGGGCAAGAGCACCGGGTATGCAGCAAGCTACTCCCTCCCTCTTTTCACACCCTTCTGTCCTTCCAGCTTGGTGGCACTTCATTGGCAAAATCACTGTAGGCTTATAGTCAACAGTTTGGATGATAAACAGAAGCAGTGTGTTTACTGGAACAAAAACAGAAGCAGTGTGTTTACTGGAACAATATGATCGCACAAACACAGAGGAATCCCTCAGCCTCTCCTGCCTTCACCATCTGCAGGGCTCCCAGGAACATGCCTGCCGTCACGTGATCACCATGAAATACTGAAACCGACAGACAAAGCTTCACTGAGAGGCCTGAGCAGATGAGAGACCTTCCCCTGCCTGGCAGGCAGCAGATTCCTGTTGAACATACAAGAAGAAAGGAGCAAGCAGAAACCTATATATGGGCATGCATACATATATGTGCATATATGTAGGTGTGTGTGTGTGTGTGTGTGTGTGTGTGTATAATATACAGTACGTTTATGCATTTGAATTGAAGTCAAATAGTGACTTATCAAGAGAAACCAGCATGTAAGCTCATCAAACAAACAGGGCAGAGGAGAAAGTCATATGCCTGTATAACCTTTGCCAATATCCCTTAATCCAGACGATAGTCCCTCATTGTGCTGTCTCAACCCTTGGATCTGCTCTCTGCAGACCTGTCATCACACCTCTACCCCACACGCACTGTGCAGAGCATCCCTCACAGTGCTGTGGCCCAGTTCGTAATGCCGAAAATACTTTATGATTAAAAGAGAGACTCCATCCCCTTCCCATCTTGTACCACATCTGCCCCTTGACATGTGCTGTCTGTACTTCAGTGGGGTCCTGGACCCTGCAACAGCAAAGCTCCTATTAACTCTCTTCAACTTCTCTGCATTGCGTTTGCTGGCTGGTGCCTCTATGCTCCCTTTGCAAACAGGACCTTGCTGCAAAAGCTAATTTCCAGCTACCCCACGGAGAACTAGAATTTTTATCTGCTGCTCTCACTCCCAGTTAAATATTTCCCTAAGTTGCTCTGCTGTACCCCACATGCTGTCTTGTTTAACCCTCTCCTGCCACCTGCCTAAAGGCTGTTCTAGATAGGGAAACTCCACAGCAAAACCATGAAGTTCAGCATTACAAGAGTTGAAGGTTTTCTGCTACCATTCCAGTGCCAAAATGCTTCATCATCATTGTTGCCTTTCTGGGTTTGGTAGAAATATAATTCAAACTAACCCTCATTTTGTGGTACGAAGCATTATACAGCACTAGTCTACAGCAGAACTACAACCCTAAGGATATGTCCTCTATCATAATTTTGTCTTATGTCACATGTCAGTATGCCCTCCCCTCCCAAATTCTCCCTGGCTCCATTGGGCTGCCTTGAAGTTTAAAGGCAAAGCTATATATGTCTAGTATCATTCACAGATGTTTCCAAAATTTGCTTTTGTTACCTTTAGCAGGACCTTCAGCTGTATTCATAGGAAGCAGACATCACTGTAAGTGAATCTCCACTACTCATCAAGCTGTAGCATCTCTCTTGCAATCAGAGCACTGGATCCCCAGCAAGAACAGGACTCATTTTATCTGTGCCTTAAACCCCATTTGAACCCAAGTCTCTCAAAAGGGAGCTCAGAACGCCTGCAGTTGTCCTGCAGAAAAAAGCGCTCAGGTAGATGAATAGGAGTCTAAGGAAACTCTGCCTTTGGTTACTACTTGACATGAGCAGAGTGGGACGGGCTGAGCAAAGGACCGACCTGGCTCTTAAGGGAACACATTAAATCACAGGAGAGGACTCCACGTGGTCTTGGCTCCAAGCTCAGCCTGCCATAACATACAGAAAGACTGGGAAAGTCACCTAATACCATATTACAGATGGGCAGAGAGATCACGAGGATTGATTGCACTTGCAACGTGCTTGAACAGAAAGAATACGTTATTGTTTGACATCATCCCAGGTCTCCTGGAGGATTTCAGCACGCAGATAGTTTGCATGCTGCCAGCACAACAGAATGGCAGGTCCATGCCTGTCAGAGTAAACAGTTTCACGCAAGTCCCTCAGGAAGGACAAGAAAGGTTGAAGTGTGAGGCCATGTGGTTGAAATGGAAACAGTAATCCTAGCTATTCTCAGCAGTGCTCCACTGAGAATGAGCCTTGCACAGATACTACCTGCCTTGCTAAATTTTGCTGAGGCAGGATCCCTCTCAGCCTGATCCTTTGGATCAGCAAACCCCCAAACACACTCAAAAGAAAGACCTCTGATGACCTCGGGGTGGGGGGGAGGGACAGGCCAGGTTGTTCCCTACCTTTCCCCTTACCCCCAACATTTTCAGGGACAGATGCATCATCACCTCCACCTCCAGGTGGGAGATCAGCTTAGGGAAGGCTCCCAACACAAACTGCTCTGCTCCAGAGCAACTGGGCAACCAAATATCCAGAGTCAATTGCTTTCTGAGAGGAAAAAAAAAAAAAAAAATCAGCCTCTGAACATGCAGCCTGTCCCCTAAAAGGGCTGGCCTGCAATGCACTTTTGTCTACAGTGAGATTTCCAACTGTGTTGTCACACGACATATCTACACATTAAAACAGAAGGAAACTGGAAAGGATAAAATAACTTTATTCCCAGAGCAATGTACCGCACAATGTTACTGTTATCATAATCTGGAAAGTTTATGAGACTCCTGTACTTACAGGTTGCTAATACTATTAAAATGCAGAAAAGGAGAGAGAAACTATCTTCTGGAGTAGACTGGAAAAAATCTATATGTGGTTCACAGTTTACCCAATTCATTTTTTGAGCTTGAGATCCCATCTCTACTATGAGATCCCTCTCATCTACAATGATGAGAACTCTTTCAAAGAGAGGGTGGTGAGACAGATACAAGAATGACAGGTGTCAAAAACATACTTGGAGCAGGTTACACACACAAACAAGAGCATCCCAGCCACTATGTGGTGGGGAGAGAGGGATGCTGTACCTGAAGCCCTCCCTCTTCCTCAGGCTTAACCAACTGTCTCGTTTCACAAGGCAAGGGATGCTCTCTGATGCACCTGATATAATTATACAGCAACCTCTTTTGTCCATAAATTAGGCAAAGAAGCCAGAACCATTCCCCGTCCCTGTTCACCCATTTGTGACAAACACCCTGGTCTCCTTGATTGCTGTTGTGGATGAAGGCCACCTCCACTGAGAATTTTAACAAAACAAATAATCAGGCCACCCCCAGCCCACAATGCTGGGCATGATATCAACAGACCATTTGAAAAGGAAAATTCACTCCAGCTTCAGGCTGATCATGGAAATAATAATACACAATCAGTGTCCGTTAACACTGTCAGGAGGGCTATGGATCAATAGCACATTAATGGCTGAAGATCATCCATACCTATCAGCAGAGCTAATACACACACACTAGCCGAGGAAGAGAGGAGGCGGCAGTGGCGGGCGTAACTGAACTAGGCACCTGATGTCTTCGCGTGGTCTGGCACGGGAATCCCTGTCGCCATCAGTACCCC